CCCCTCCCCTCCTGTTCGTCCAGCGCTTATCCGATGGACAAAAGGGACCAAAACGTCCATTTCCATCTCAAAGACTTAAGCCCCTCCATGCCCCGACGAGAGGCAAGAGGGATCAGACTCGGACCCAAAATACCCGAGGATCACTAGAGCAAATGGGGGGGGCACAATAGAAGAAGAAGAGAAAAAAAATGCAAAAAGAAAAAGGGATGGGGGGGTTGGGGGTTGGAGAGGGTGGAGGAGATGTTGGTTGCTCCAAAAGATTTGTGTTTGTGAAAGAAAATGCTAATATGAGTTCGAGGAGAATGGGCGGATTTCAGAGACGTCGCTTTAATTCCATCATTGTTGTTGCTCGCGTGCAGACGGCCGAGGAGAGTGACACGACGGTCACGTGACGGAATCACTTGACGTGGAGTATGCGTGACTGAAGCACGTGCACGCGATGCGATTGACATTGCTTTTGTGTCATATCTGTTTGGACTGCGTATAGTTCAAAAATATCTGACGATGAGATTTGAACATCATCTTATTACATCATTGATTGATTTATTAGTCAATAAAACCATGTTGCGGAAGGATTTTTTTTAAATCCCAAGTGACGGAATTCATAAATGCTTTTGTGGGAATTTTCGTTGTTTGAGATATTTAGAAAAGTATTTTCTGCGGGGGATGTCCGATAATATCGGCCGACCGATATGATGATGCCGACATTACCATATTTATGTAACACCTGTAGGAATCACGATCGCGTTTCGCCTAATGACGTGTGGCGGCCTAAAAATAGTTTTGTCGATGAAAGTGAACGTCACACGATGACAGCATTGCAGCTCATTTTATAAATCGATTTTAATAATCAGGGGGATTGTATGCGGAGTTGCTGGTGCGGGCAACTCATGAAGTTGTTTGTATTGATAAATGAATACTAAACAGGTCTATATCGGTCTATATCGGAATCAGAAATTAAGCGTTATCGGACAATATCGGCATATCGGATATCGGCAAAAAAAAGTTCATATCAGACATTTTTTAGATTTCTGTATTTTGTCATCATTTTGCGTTAAACGTATTTTTCTAAAGGGGCGAATGTGTTGTTTTTATGGATTTTTTTGGCTTTATTTTATTAACGTCCGAAGGACAGGCTCCAACCCTTTGTGTCTCACTATGCAAAGGCTGCATGACTTAGATGTTGCCCATTCGCATGCCTCCTGTATGACTTTTAGGGGGGCAGATGGGCTCTGAGTAGAACATGCCAACTGATATTAGCTTCTACTGCAAGGCTTGAAAGTGTTGCTTGTGAAGCAAAAAAAAAAGCAACAACAAAAAAAAAAAAGCAGATTGAGTGTGTGAGTGGGAGAGGGTGAATAAGGGAATGAGACGGAGGAGAACAGAGAGAGGGGCGTCATCTACTGTGAAGAATGAGAAAATCTCTTAAAGAGCCGTGACGGGGCCCCAGCCGTTCTCTAAATGTATTTTAATGGGAGAAACCCCGATGTCCGGGCAATTCATCTCCAATCTTGCTGCGGTGAAAGGCCCCAAAGGCTCCATGTGGATCAGCCTTATTATGCCGCAGTTAAGCAGCGGGGCATGGGGAGGCCCAGTAGGGCTAGGGCCCCAGCAGACTGGCTGAGGGGCCACAATAATGCTGTAAAAAAAGGAGACCCTGCTAGGCCATTATCCTGCCCCTGCTAACGAGGTCTTCATGTGTGCTTTCGCTATAAGCTCGCCATTGAAATCCTCATAAATCCCCCCCCCGCCCCCCCCTCTGCGTTTAAAGCCAAATCCCTTTTGCAACGGCTTTGTAGATATTTTTTTTCCGTCTGGCTCGGTGCATGTGCATGTACACGTATGTACCGTCGCCTGCCCCCGCAGTGTTCCAACAGCCGAGAGCTAGCATGTTAGAGTCAATCATGACATAGGTTTTAATTATAAAAAAAAAAGACGCTGGGTCTCGTGATCTGATCTGAGAAGAGCTTAGAGGATACAAAAAAAAAAAAAAAATCAATGTTTAAAAATGAATATAGTCTCCCTCTATTCTTGCCTCCAGACAGAAAATGAGGAGGGAAAACAATAACAGTGCACCCGAATAATAGAAGGCAAATCAAGCTTATGGGATTTATTAATGAAAGTTAAATGAGCTGTAGGGTGATACTATCACCACTGTGAAGCTGCCATTGGTCAAAATGATCCTAAAAAAATCAAAAAAAAAGTTCAAAAAAAGTTTAATTATATCAAATGACATCCGGATCGGCATTTAAGTCTGCTAAAAATGTATTGTATTTTGTGGGCCAAACAATTGTTTTTTTCATTATTTTCATCAAGATTTTTTTTTTTGCCTAAATTTTTAAGCAAGATGTCACCTTGGTCTTATTACCTGGCAAAAGGTATCCCTAAAGTAGCGTCGATGGAAATGAAAACTACGTCAAGTAAATAAGAAAATCAAAATTGAAGACAGTTTCCCGGATTTCCCGTACTCCAGGGGTGTCAAACATAAGGCTCGCCGGCCAAAACCGGCCCGCTAGAGGGCATCTAATCCTGCCCGCGACACTTCATGTTCATGACGTAGAATTGTATTTCGTTAAATAGGACTGTTTTCAAATATACTTGTACGTCCTTGTATGGAAACATGGGGGGGAAATATGGACTTTGTTATTGTTATTGTTATTGTTATTTATCGGTAATTATGATTACGATTGTACTGGTCCGGCCCACTTGACATGTGTTGCCCATGAAACCAAATGACTTCGACACCCCCCCCCTTGCTGTAGTGTATCTGAAAACGACCACGTGACGTCACCAACCACGTCGGTGAGGAAAATCGTATATCGAAAAATTGTATTGTCTCTTTGAATTGCACTCGTATGTCAAATGTATCTCCTAACCAACTTTTTTTTTTGGGGGGGGGTTGGGGGCGGTGGGGGGGGATGCTCTATCTTGCATCTAATAATCCGTCAGTTAAACGCGTCCACGCGTGGACAACAAGGGCCACGTGCGTTGCAGTGTCCAGTGTTTCGGCGTAAATCTCTCTCGTTCCCCTTTTTTTACGCGGAAAGCGCGCCTATATGTGTGAAGCATTCCGAGCAGACACTTTCTTTTCAAACGCTTTGTCCTCTATCTCAGGGACACTGCGCATCGCTGTACGTGTCCCTATCTCCCTCTCTCTCTCTCTCTTTCTGCCCCCCCCCCCCGTGGGTGTGCGTGCTTTTTTAACCCCGGGGGGGGGGGGGGGGGGGGGGGGGGGCAGAAAGCGAGCGAGACTAGAGCCGGTATTAAATCAAGCTCCAACGTTTGGTCCGAGCACCGGATGCCAAGTTTCAGCGTACAGTCCAGGAATCCTTAAAACTCTCTCTCCCGCCTTAGAGAGCTTGCAAAAAGTCTACCTTTCTTTCCCCCCCAACTCCCCTCCCCGACAGCCCAGATTGGCCAGTAGGGCGGTTCATTTGCATGCCTCTACGTATAAACCCTCCTGCAGATACTGCAGCCCCCTTCCGCTGAGAACAGCACATCCCCAGAAGAGAGAGAGAGAGAGAGAAAGAGCGCATACAGAGTGCGCATTCACAGGCATATGGAGGATCCATTAGACACTTTATTCTAAAAAAGAAGAAAAGAAATTATTGCCATTTTTGCTATTTTTTTAAAGTCTCTCTTTTTTTTGGTCTTTGAACGGGGATTTAGATCTTTTTTTTTTTTTTTTTTGGTGAGAGAAAGCGCCAAAAAAAATGGGAGACCCGGAGTGGAGCGTACTGCTGGCGGTCCTGTGCGTCTCTTTGGCCAGCCTTCCTGCTGTCATCCAGGGAAAGACGATCAAATACGAGACCTTTGAGGAAGACGCCGTGGGCACCGTGATCGGAAACTTAGCCACAGACATCTCATCCTTTTCTTCTTCTTCTTCTTCTTCTTCCGGAGTTGGACGGAATAATAATTTCAGGATGATGAAACAGTTCAACTCGTCCTTTATTCGTCTCCGAGAGAGCGACGGCCAATTGAGCATCGGGGAGAAGATGGACAGGGAGCGCATCTGCAAACACGCGTCGCACTGTCTCATTGCGTTCGACGTGGTCAGCTTCTCCAAAGAGCAGTTCAAACTCGTGCACGTCGAGGTGGAGGTCAAGGACATCAACGACAACTCGCCGGCGTTTCCCCGCAGGGAGTCGAGTCTGGAGATCTCCGAAAACACCGCGGTCGGGACGCGCATGCCGCTCGACTTCGCCGTGGACGAGGACGTGGGAGTCAACTACATCCAGAGCTACCAGATCTCCGTGAACAGCCACTTCACGATCGACGTGCTCAGCAGGGCCGACGGGGTTAAATATGCGGAGCTGGTGCTCATGAAGGAGCTGGACCGGGAGACGCAGCCGTCTTACGCGCTCGAGCTGCTGGCCATGGACGGAGGGAGCCCGTCCCGCACGGGAACCACGCGCATCAACGTCAAAGTGAGAGACTTTAACGACAACAGCCCGGCGTTTGACCGCAGCAGCGTCTCCGTGGACCTGCCCGAGGACGCGGCGGTGGGCACTCTTCTGGTGGACCTGAACGCGGAAGATCCGGACGAGGGTCTGAACGGCGAAGTGGTGTACGGCTTCGGGAACCAGGTGCCGTCGGAGATCAGACAACTTTTCCGAGTGGACAGGAGGACGGGGAGGCTCACGCTGGAGAGCCCGGTTGACTTCGAGGGCAAGAACACGTACGAGTTCGACGTCGAGGCCAAGGACCTGGGCGCGAACCCGAGCCCCGCCATTTGCAAAATAGTGGTGCAGGTGCGAGACGTGAACGACAACGCACCTGAGATCTCCATCACCCCCATGACGTCCATCACCGCCGGGATCGCCTACATCACCGAGGCAGCGGCCAGGGAGAGTTTCGTGGGGCTGGTCAGCACCTCGGACAGAGACTCCGGCGCGAACGGCCAGGTGCGCTGCACTCTGTACGGACACGATCATTTCAAACTGCAGCAGGCGTACGAGGACAGCTTCATGATCGTCAGCACGAGCTCGCTGGACCGGGAAAAGATCCCGGAGTATAACCTGACGGTGGTGGCGGAGGACCTGGGCTCCCCGCCCTTCAGGACTATCAAGCAGTACACCATCAGACTCATAGACGAGAACGACAACGCGCCCGTGTTCAGCAAGCCCGTCTATGAAGTGGCCGTGGTGGAGAACAACGCTCTCGGAGCCTACGTCACCACGGTGGTGGCGCGGGACTCGGACGCCGGGTCAAACGGCAAAGTCAGTTACGAACTGGCGGACACCTACTTCATGGGCTCCCCCATCTCGTCCTTCGTGTCCCTCGACCCGGCCAGCGGGTCTCTGTACGCACTGAGGAGCTTCAATTACGAGGTAATGAAGCAGCTGGAGCTGCGCGTCACGGCCAGCGACGGCGGGTCTCCGCCGCTGGCCGGCAGGGCCAACGTCCACATCAGGATACTGGGCGG